GCTTCCTCCATTAATCAAAAAATCCAACATATTTTTAACAGTCCATACACCTTACACAGTCTTCCTCATTTCATTGAATTCCACATGCTGTTTTCTCTAGGAGAACCTTCCATCTTCCAAAACTGGATTCTAATGTCAGTTTCCATGAGTCTTTCCTTAGGCAAAATTATTCGGATTCTAATGTCAGTTTCCATGAGTCCTTCCTTAGGCAAAATTATTCTCTTTTCTCTAAACTCACATATTCTGCATATATACTACTGTCAGTCAACAAAAATTTTCCCTTTTAATTTATAAGAGTTACTTTAAGAGAGAAAATGGGGGAGCTCTGGTGGCCTAGTGGCAAGAAGCTGCACTGCAATCCCAGAGGAACACGGTTCGAATCCACCAGATGCTCTGCCGGAGAAGGAGGTGCAATATCCTCCCGTACCTGTCAGATCTGATTTGACGGTACACGCACACAAAATAAAAAAAAAAAAAAGAGAAAATGATGCTAATAGCTATAACCTCTAAACTGCTCAAAAGAGTACCTTTAAAATGTTTTGATGTGTGTTCATTTAAAACTTCCTTAGATGGTTTTGAAACCCAAAATACTAAACCCAATGCCACTAAGTTGATTTCAACTCAGAGAGACCCTACAGGGCAGAGAACTGTCTCATGGGATTTCAAAAAGTGTGATCTTTATGGAAGCAGTTTGCTGTGTCTTCCCCATGGAACACTTTCTGGGTTCAAACCACTGACCTTGTAGGTCACTGAACACTTAACCACTGTGCTACCAAAGCTCCTTTAAGATGCTATCAGATGTAATAAGGCGTTGCTATTAGGTGGCAAAAAGTTGGCTCCAACTCCGAGACACCTTATGTACAATATATAAAAACCTTGCCCTGTCCTGTCCATCTCCATAAACTCAGCTGTGTTTAAGCCTACTGTTGCAGTCACTGTGTCAATTCATCTCACTGAGAGTTTCAAGAACAATTTCTTTTATAATCACTAGTGCAAACCCAGTTCTGATGAAACAAATTGACAATGTTCCAAATATCCAAACTGCTGTACCACTCAGTCACCTGTGGCCTTAATTATTCCTCCTCTTGACCTCATCTATTCCTGCTCTGTTCAGTTCTTCTACTCCTATCTGTATCTTCTGAGTTCTGTGATTGACTGAAACATCTCACATAAACTCAAAATCCATCAGGGAACTGGATGCAGTGACGGTGAATAATGTAAGCTGATGTCACACAGACTGGTGAGCAATGAGCCAGGATCCTGCAGGCTGTCAGTGCATTGGATCAGGTTAGATGCAGTATTGCAGGTAAGCAAGCACTGAGCTTCCATGAGCTTTCACAGGACTTGGGTAACACCTTCCCATACCAACTGATGCAGATAACGTATCTGATAAAACCAGATACCTGTTAACAAACCTGATAATAAAACTTCCTCAACAGAATGAAGGGCATCTATAGAAAACTTCTGAGTCTATTTATTACCCTCCACTAACATCACAATTCACAGGCATCAATTCTATTTCAGTCTTCCTAGTCAGTATCTAGCTTTCACATGCATATAAAGCAACAGAAAACACCTGAAAAAGACTTGGAGGGGAGCTCTGGTGGCCTAATGGCAAGAAGCTGCACTGCAATCCCAGAGGCACAAAGTTCGAATCCACCAGATGCTCTGCCGGGGAAGGAGGGACAATCTCCTCCTGTACCAGTCAGATCTGATTTGACGGTACATACAAATAATAAAAATGAAAAAATTTTAAAAATTTTAAAAAAAGACTTGGGTCTTTTATATCAGGTCTGATATTCTTCTCTTTCACCCAATGCAGTATGTCACTGATTGCTACCTCCTTGGGTGATCAATGCAGATCCAACTAAAATGGAATCTTTGACAACTTCACTCTTGCCTCCACTTATCATGATGTTGTTTATTTATTGGTCCAGTCGTGAGGATTTTTTATTTTCTTAACGTTGAGGTGGAATCCATACCGACAGCTTTCGTTTCATCAACAAGTGCTTCAGACCTATACAGAGCAAACTTAGATTATCCCTAAATTGTGCTTTATAGAAATAGGTTTTAGAGATCTCAGTATGTTAAATACTAGCTAGCAGGATTTACAGAACTTATTTCTGTTTCATCTTGTTTGGCCTTGGTAGGCAGTGTTTTGCAAAACTGAATCTGAATGTAAAAGGATTTACTTACACAAAAGACCCACCACATATTTACTCAATTAGTTATCTGTACAAGCCACCAAAAGTGTTACTGACCTCTACCTGGCTGCCAAATCAGAAACTAAATGGGTGAGGGGAAAACGTATGGTTCATGTGTGGTAGGACGGAGAAACCAAGGAAGGTCACCGTGTGAAACCATAGGGAAAAGGTGGGTAAAAGCAAGAAGATGTTAAGGGATTGACGGGAAAAATGTATAAATAAACTTGTACAGGGCAACACGTGTCCTGAAAAGAAAAATTGTCTTGAAAATATTTTTCACAGCAAAAATCAAGACTACACAATGTTTTATGAAGAAGTACTAGCCTTGGAATTTAAACATGAGCTTTTTAAGAAACTCCTAAAAAAAAAATAATCTTCAAACAAGACGGTTATTATGTACTGTCAAGTTAGACCCAACTCATAGTTGATCCTCCAGTGGGTTTTCAGAGGCTGTAAATCACACAGGAGGAGAGTGCCCATCTTTCTCCTGCAGAGCAGCTGATGGATTCAAACCGTGTGCCTCTGGGTTGGCACAGCAACTCCTTAACACAAGCAAAATTAACAGTGGTTAATTTAACAGTTCTTTCTCAAAGGCTTATTTGTATCTTTGACTTAAATACATATATAAGGGGAGCTCCGGTGGCCTAGTGGCAAGGAGCTGCAACTACAATCCCAGAGGCACACGGTTCGAATCCACCAGATGCTCTACCGGGGATGGAGGGACAATCTCCTCCTGTACCAGCCAGGTCTGATTTGACGGTACACGCACAGAAAAATAATAAAATTTAAAAAAAAAGCAACATATATCTATAACCAAGAGTACATTATATAATCTTAATATTTGTCAAAGGGACTCTTCACACATCACTTCAAATCATATTACCTGCTAACTCAAATACAAAAGCCGATTTGAAATCAAACAACAGAAACAACTTAAGTTCTTTCTTGTCTCCTCTCGCTGGTCACTTTACAGAGCAGCAGAGGAGGGAGCTTCACTCTTCACTGTCTCCTTCTAATCTCTACACCACAAGGACCAGGAAGGAGGTGTAATTCCACAGCCCCCAGAGTTCACAAATCCCACGGCTTTCTGGTGAAGCACAGTGGGATTAATTAGAACAAATGAGTCGGAGATCATTCTATCAGTTTAGAATATTAATCTCAGTCATTTACAGCCTACTCTCAACCCCAAAAGGGGCCCTGCTGCCACATTAGGGTAAGGATTCAGGTGCTAACCAAAAAGTTGTCAGTTTGAAGCCACCCAGTAAATTTCAGACACAAAGACCCTGGCAAACTCTCCTGTGATCATGACAGGATAGAACACGCAAATAGCAATTCTTTCACATGAAGTTGCTAAAAGTTAAACAAAAAAAAACAAAAACAAAAAAAAAAAATTACTTGATGGGACCTAAATACAACTCAACCGCACATGGGAACAAGATCAAAGGGGGGGGGGTAGTTAAAAAAAAGATGGAAAATGCAGCAGCAAATGCCACGGGAGCAACTTTTCTAATCACCGTGGAATTTATATAAGAAGTACTCAAAGTTAAGATGCAAACTAAATTCTTCAGCCAAAATACAGTGGATCTGTCCCATCTGAAATTAGCTGTTCCAATTAAAGGATTGCACTGGTTCGGTTTGACCCCTGTGCACTGGTTCGGTTTGACCCCTGTGCCCAGAATGTGGTTTTCCCACCCAACTATACCAAATCAGAATCTATAGTGTTAACATGATCCTAGAGTGATTCTTATGTATATACACACAAGGATTCTTATTCATGAGAATCACCTGTGGGTCTTGCTAAAAGTGTGGATTATGATTCTGTGTCTCTGCAGCGGACATCCAAGTTCTCAGCAGGGGACAAAACAAGGACACCCTGGTCCTAATAAATAAGCCATACACATATACATAAATATATATACACGCCTTGCAAAGGCCAGACAACCTAGAAAGCCTTGTTTTAAAATGGATCACTAGACACAATAGTACTGAGTTAAAAATGAATGCTTTGCAGCCTTCGAGTATAATAAACCTGAATCATCTGGTTAAAAAAAAAAAAAAAGCATCAGCAGCGCAAAAAAAAAAACAACCCCGTTTTGTTTTGAAACAAGAAGAGATAAATACCAACTGGCAATATAAAAGTTGCTAAAGGCAGCCTCATTCTGAACAGGAAGGTCCAAATATACCTGAACTCGCACCTGATTCTATTCCCGGTAAGAATCGACTTGCCCGCAGCGGATTTGGGTTTTGTTTTGTTTGTGCCCTCGCCTAGTCGTGAAAGATCAGCTACCGTTGTCACGCTGGGCCGAGTCACAAAAAGTCTTTCTTTCAACTTCTCTGCACTTAATGCAACACTCGGTGTAACTGACCTTCCCCAGGAACCAGCTCCTTCAAGTCTACATTTTCTTTCCCGGGATTCCCCCCAAACCTTCCCGCTCTTGGATTTGCAAGAAGGATCCGGCGGTACTTAACCCCGTCCCTCCCAGGCCGGCCCCTTCCCCGCTCCCCGACCCCATTTCCCCGCCCCCCGCTCCCCGGCCCCTCGACCCCCCGTCCTCAAAGCCCCAACTTGGCTCGTGGCGGCCCCCGGGCCCCGCTCACGCGCCCTTCCCACGGCGGCCCCGTTTCCAGCGCCCCCGACTCCCGCCTCCGGCCGCCAGCGCGGTCCCGGCGCCCCGCAGGCGCTGGTCCCCGCGGGAGGGGACCCCCCCAGACCCAGCCACGCCCCCCCGATAATGGGTGACGTGGCGCCCCCCGACCCCGGCCACCGCGGCGGGGCCCCCGGGCAGCCTCGCTCACCCATACGAACAGGCTGTCCGAGAGGAGGTACTGGGCCACGTCCCGGGCCCGCGGGCCCCCGACGCCCGGCCGGGCGGGAGCCGACGACTCCTCCGGCGGGGCCGTTAGCAGGTCCGGCTCGTCGGGCCCGGCCTCGGACTGGCTGAGGGCGCGGTAGGCGCTGACGATGGTGCCGAGCAGGGCCAGGCCGCTGAGGCCCGTGTAGGTACGGAGGCTGGGCCAGGGGAAACGCTCCAGGAAGAGCAGCGGCATGGCGGCGGCCTCCAGAGCCCAGGCCTC